GTGCTTTTAAATACCTCTTAGGTGAATGAGTGCTTTGTGCCATGCCCTGATTTAATACACTTAAAACAGTGTATTGATGGCTTTCTTTCAGTTCTCTTGAAAGTGGGATAATTTATTTAATAGGAAATCTTTGTAGGATCTTTTGTTTGTCTAGATGTCCGTGGGGTAGAGAGATGAATGCTATCAATTACTTCTTCTATGACATAAGCTCTTAGATGAGTCTTTGCTTTGAAGCACTGCGGACAGTGAGGAATTCTATGTTGGGGTGCACATATTGACTGTGCCCCTTTCTGTGAATTACCTCATCTCATTACCCTGGTACCTCTGTGAGGATTGATGGAATCACCCAACTTTTACAGAATAGACACAGTTGTGAAACTTTTCTGTTCGTGGGTGTATCGCTAGTATGTCTTTAAAAAACCCACAAACCATCACCACCATCAACCGCCACCAGTGACTTGAAGCTGTGCCTTCCTGGCACACTTCTGATGCACATCAAGAGTCTTGTGTCCTTAGAAGTTTCCACTGGCTGGTGATCATTGAGGTGTGGAGGAGCAGGGGAAAGACAAGGCTGCTTTATCGCCCGCATTGCTCCATCCTTCTCTCACCCGCATTTTTTCTAATGTTCTTCAACATCGACCAGGGAGGGTTAGGAGGCTGCCAGGCTGTCTGGCTCATTGTCTTCAATCCAACATGGGCTTGTTTAATTTAGCAGTGCTCAGCTGAAAGGCCCGTGACGGCCAAGTACAAACAGACCTTCTGTGGGATGTTAATTTTGATATGGGAGAGAAAGCTTGTTTTTCCTTGCTCTCGGTTAATAAAGTAGCTGGCACATTTTCTCATGAGTTGAAAAGGACTTTGGCTTGTTTAAATTTGTGTAATCAAAGGGAAATGAGCAGTTCTGATAAACATTTTTCTTTGTGCAGTCTTTGGTTAATTCCACTCAATAGCTGCCAACTAATTGCAAAGTGTGTGCTCTTTTGTTCTTTCCTTTTTCTTCCTTTTTTTTTAATGTTGCGACTAGATTTTATGATTGGTCACAGTATAATCCTACAGTGGTAGGGAAGTAAACTATTTCCTCATTTGAACAGACATGTGTTACCCTAGAGCAAGCAAGTGAGTCAGCCCAGTCCCTGCACACAGGTGTCTTCATAATTTTGTGGTTGTTCTTTTTTATTTTTATTTTATTTTATTTTTTGCTTTTTGGGTCACACCTGGTGATGTGCAGGGATTACTCCTGGCTCATGCACTCAGGAATTACTCCTGGTGGTGTTTGGGGGATCATATATGGGATGCTTAGAATTGAACATAGGTTGGTCATGTGCAATGCAAATGCCCTACCCACTGTACTATTGCTCCAGCCCCATGGTTGTTCTTTTATAATAAAGTCCATCCTTTCATAGCACCCAGTTTAATGGATTTTAGTATATTTGCAGAAGTTGGGTGCCAACCCCCCACTCTCTCTTTCCCAGAAGAAAGCCCAGCTCATCAGCACTACCTGTTCTCTCTCTCTGGTCCACGGCAGCCACTACAATTTGGTGTGTCTATGGAGTTGCCTCTTCTGGCAATAATAGGAATCAGTGATAGAGTAAGGTGGCTTGTTGTGTCTGACTTCTCTCACGGAACATGTGAAAGTTTGTAAGTTCATCTTCACTGTAGCATGTAACATAAGTCTTTCTTTTTCACTTTTTAACCATTATGTGGATCAACCACAATTTTTATCTCTTCATATGGGCTGGGGTGATAGCACAGCGGGTAGGGCGTTCGCCTTACAAGCGGCCAACATGGCCGACCCGAGTTCGATTCCTCCGCCCCTCTCGGAGAGCCCGGCAGGCTGCCGAGAGTATTCGATGCCAGACACAGTAACAACAAAGTCTCCAAAGTCTCCTTGACTGGAGAGCAGGAATAAGGCTCCATTGTGTGACCCAAAAAAGTTAAAAATAAATTGCGTTCGCTTTTTAATTATCATAGCTTTAATTCTGAACACGCTGATCCAGGAGACGTTACTGGGCCCGCTCGAGCAAATCGACGATCAACGGGAGGGCCTTTACTTTTACTTTACATGTGTTAATGGACATTGGGGGATTTCAGTGTTTAACCATGAAGCAATTGCTGCTGTGAACATTCACATGCACTTATGGATGGACCTTTACAGGTTTCTCTTGGGTATAGGAGTAGAGTTGCTAGGTGTGATGGAGCTAATGAACTGTTTTAGAAACGGCTAAATTGTTTTCCAAAGTAGCTGCACTGCACTACAATTCCATCAACAGGAGGGGACTCCAGCTTTGCTGATAGCTTTGCTTACCTTTGTTATCAGTGTTTTTCATAGGCACCACCCCAGTGGTATGAGGTGGCGTCTCACTGCAGTGTCGGCTCGTAGTCCCTAAATGGCACGTGGGCTAAGCGAGCGTCTCCCCATGTGCTCGTTGGAGGAATGCCTAGTTTATTTCATTTCTTTGCCTGATTTTAAACTTGGTTCGCTAGGACCAGAGTGGTAGTACAGCAGGTAGGGCATTTGCCTTGCACACAGCCTGCCCAGGTTTCATCCCTGGCACCCCAGGTAGTCCCCTGAGCACCGCCAGGAGTGGTCCTTGACTGGAGAGCAGGAATAAGGCTCCATTGTGTGACCCAAAAAAGTTAGAAATAAATTGCGTTCGCTTTTTAATTATCATAGTTTTAATTCTGAACGCGCTGATCCAGGTTCGATTCCTCCGCCCCTCTCAGAGAGCCTGGCAAGCTACTGAGAGTATCTCGCCCGCACAGCAAAGCCTCGCAAGCTGCCCGTGACATATTCGATATGCCAAAAACAATAACAAGTCTCACAATGGAGACGTTACTGGTGCCCGCTCGAGCAAATCGATGAATAACAGGAGGACAGTGACAGTGACAGATGTACACACACACACACACACACACCCCAGAGATATGAACCGTGGAATTTTTCCTTTTATGCTGTGGCTTCTCTTTTCACTTAATGTTCTTTTAAAAATTTATTGCTGTGGTACCACTTATGGTGCTGGTAGTGGGGTGGGGGTGTGTGCTGCAGTGCCAGGGAATTAACCCTGGGCTTTGCATGTGCCTGGCATGTGTTCTTGGGACTTACACTCTCTAGTCCTGCTGCTTCTGGGGGGCCCCGATCAGTGCCCCTGCTTGTTGCTCAGGCGCTCTGGGTTGGGGTCAGCACGTGGCTCTCCAGGGCATGCCCTCCTGCTGTCTTCTCCCACTCTTTGTGGAGATGCACAAGTTGTGGCTGTAGGACTTGCCTCTATACTTGCCAGAGGCTGTGTTTTCTGGCTGTGTTTTTTTACACATTACTTTAGTCGTGGTGCCCACCAGGTGCCACACCTTTTTATGTAGTGGTCCCCTCACCTGACTGGAAATCACTTAAGGATTTCAGGGTCACAAAGAGGGCTGCCAGGATAGTGCTTGATGCATGTGGGATGCCAGTGATTTTAGCTCATTGCTCTGCATTTGCAAGGCAAATGTTCCAAGCCACTGTTCTATTTCTCTGTATTAGCAAAATTACCGACCTGGGGCCCTAGAGAGAGCTTAATGGGAGAGTGCTTGTTCTGTGTGCTGAAGGCCCTGGTACTGCATGATCATCCAAACTCCTCCAAGAGTAACTCCCAAGCACTGCTGAGTGTGACCCTCAACAACAAGCAAAAGTTATCCTTCTAGGTATTTCCTATTGTAAAAATTGGTACAAAACTCAATGGTCAGTTGGCAGTAAGAGATTTTACACATCTTTTAAACTTACAAAGTAATTCCCATTTAATTCAGTCGAAGATTGTTTCTCAACCAAACACTCATATTTTGTGCCTTCAGTTTTCACAATCCCCACAACATGCTTGGTCTTGGTCTTGGAAGTTTTCTTCTGTCATCACACTTGGAACATCCAGAGGTTGTGGGGAAAGGTACTGGGTAAAGCCAACAATGCCTGTCTCCTTGGGGAAAGCAGGCAGGACCCAGAAATTAAGAAGATCTGAGGCAGAAGGGGGTCGGGGGTTAACAGTCGAGGTGTGTTGCTCTGATCGCCTGTACAAGAGGAAGGGGTTGGGTCTAAATCCACAGGTGTGCTGTGAGTTAGTCCAGCTCAGGCAGGGACTCAGAACTCCTTACCTCTGCTTGATACATAGTCCATCACACTTTTATGCTTATTTGGTAGTTTGGCTTCCATCACTATCAGAAGAAGACTCATGAGGCCAAGGACTGTCAGTTTCCTTTGCTATGAACTTCCAGAATCTCGTTGTACTGGCCTTGGCATATTGTGGTCATCTCTAAATATCTCTGCAAATGCATGAATTCCTTTGAAAGTGTCCAGCAGGCAATTGGATGGATAGTTGGATCACAGATGAGGATAGGAAATGTGTATATCTGGGTTATCGGATAGAAAAACTTCATGTTGTCCTTATTGGCTAAGAAACTTCTGCGAAAGTTCAGATATGATGTTGTTATGTCATTTTCCAAGTCAAAGTCGTGATATCATGTTCCCTGACCCCCCTCCCCCACACTGCCTTGCCTAGAATTTAATGCTAGTTGTATCTGCTGATAACCCTTGCATTTAGTGTTCTCACACCACCAATGTGACCTTCCCTCCACCAATGTCCCTAATTTCCCTCTTAACACCAACCCCTTAGGCACATGACAAATTTACTTTATATTACTTACTCCAACAAAACTTAAAGAAATCCTGCCAGAATAATTTTGAAAAAAATTTTAAAAGGTTTTGAAAATGACTTTCGAAATGATAGATTGGAGTTAGACTTGTAGTGGTTGGGAAGTAAAGGTGATAAAGACAGATTTTATTTCCTTTTCAGAATAACTGACTCATAGTATGAAATCTTGGATATAATTTCAGATTACTCCTGTAAACTCTCAAAAAAGATGTTTATAAAACATTTGGAACAATACAGATTGTACTAAGAAAATGGGCTTTGATCAGCTCTGGATATACAAAGCTGGGAACTTAATAAATCAAGTCCTATTTGTGAATGGAAATGACTGGAAATTCATCTTAAAAGTAAGAATTCAGTTCTTGTCAAGGCTTAAAAGTTTTATATTCTAAGTAGTAAACATTAACTTAGTTTCATCTTTTATATAAAAAAATAAAATGAATTACAGATTTAAAATCTTGGCAGCCTAAAACATGGCTACTGATTTCTATCTCTTAATAACTATTGGAACACTGGAAATGGAATGTGGCTTTGGTTTTTTACCTTTTAATTTTGAGGTGAATGTGCTTCTAGCTCTGAGTTGCTCTATACTCAGGAAACCCAACCATTGGTAGCTTGGATATACTATAACTTTAATTCTTTAACTATTAAAAGAACGAATTTGTGTTTCTATAAAATAGTGACATTGTTTGAGAGAGAATTTGTTTTTTTCATTTAAGGCATTCATGCAATTGTGTCACTTTTGTGGGTTCCGCATTGTCCCCCTAACACGTGACCATGGAGTCACTCATTGTACTTGCTTTTAGTGTTTTGATTTACTGCCTAAATTTCCCCCTCCCTCAAAATAGGCTGTGAGTCATTCTAATTTTATTATTTTTCCACCAAAGAACTTTCACTGAATCTGCCCAGAATTGAATAATAATGCAAGTCAGTATCTTTAGCAAATCATAATTTAATAGTATTTCTGACTAAGAATTCAAAATGAGATTCCGGCATCTCTTGAGTCTTGCAGTTTTCTCTAAGGTATATACATAATGTACAATATAGTACAGATCATTTTCATTTGGATCATGCAGATTAACATTTCAGGTAGTTTCAACAAATATCCACACAGACTCAGGTTTTGTGTACACAGAATTTTAACAAGGCTGTTTACAGATTGGAAACAGAATACATATCGGATATTGATAATAAGGTCAAAATCATCACTTTGATTCCTGTGTGGGTGAGTTAAATAATGGTAAAAATCTCCAAGAAGAGACCTCAGACTGCAAAATTGTCCAACTCTTGTTTATTTAAACTTTTTTTGAGGTGCTGTGAGTTATAGCACTGTGCATGATTGGGTTGTATGACCTTTGACATCAGTTATAGAGTTAGGGTCAAGTTCAGAATTGATGAACCAGGGTTTCCAAAGATAGCCCTTCCAGCTCTTGGCAGAAGTACAAAGCAGAGGGAAACATCTGACACAGTTATCCTTTCTTTGAAATCATCATTATTTTTTTTTTTTAGAAAGTAGTTCACTTTTTACTAATTCTTCAAAGGAAGCAGCAGGAACATTCACCACTTTCTGTCAGGGAGGGAGTGATCAGCTTTACCAAGTGGGAGCCTGCAGCTCCGGGAGAGGCCTGGGGTCTGCCGCTCCTGCGTCCAGACAAGGTCACTTTCCCACAGAAATTTCCTCTCATCAAATTTTTGAATTTTCTATCATTCCTAAGGAGCGTTCAATAATGGAGGACAAGGGAAAATCTATAAATATTTTATTTCTCCCTACATTTAGTGTAATTAGGGGAAGAGTGTGAAAAGTATGGAAAGAGTTTAGAAAGAAAGAACAATTGGAAAGAATAAAACAGTTGAAAGGCATGCCTATTTAAGTGTGCAGAATTTAGGCTAATGTCTAGCTTAGCAGTTATAAGGAATCTGATAGCTGATTCTCAGTAATAATTCTACATCAACTCCTATACTCTGTGTATATAAGCTGATGTTTCTATTGTGTTACAGTCATAGATTCTTTACTTTTATAGAGTTTCACAATCATATTTCTGCTGTATTGAATAGTTTAATAGTCAAGAGAATTCAGATGCTATTCAGCTATTTTCTTTTTTGGGGGGTTTGTTCACACCCAGTGATGCTCAGGGTTCACTCCTGGCTCTGCACTTAGGAATCACTTCTGGCCATGCGCAGGACCATATGGGATGCCAGAGATAGAACCAGAGTTGGCTGTGTGCAAGACAAGCACCTTACCCGCTGTATTATCTCTTTGGTCCTGCTGTTCAACCATCTCTTGCTCTTAATAAAGTCTGGATTTCAGGTTTACTTCATATCTTGAAGAGAGCCAAGACAGTATGGAGAGATGCTCCAAGGGCAGGAATATGTGGTTTGTAGACTTCTTTTCTGGTCCTATTATCCGTGAAATCCCTTGTATTAAAAAGGCTATTTTTTTGGACATTGGAAGACTAGACTAACACTGCAGCTACTCTTGGAGGCACCAGCTGAAGTCGTTGTTCCCTGCTCTGATTGATGAAGTATTGGTTTATAGGTTTAGGGAGCAGTCATGAATAAATTACTCATTTATGTGTCCTGTTTATTACAACTTCATACTTTTATTTCTTGCCTATAAGATAAACAGATATGATCTTACTTTAATTTAGTTTTTTAAAAAATTTATTTATCGAATCACCATGAGAACAGTTACAAAGCTTTCAAGTTTAAGTCTCAGTCGTACAATGGTCAAACACCCATCCCTTCACCAGTGCATATTTTCCACCACCCAAAACCCCAATATACCCCCCCATGCCACCCCTCCCCATGCCTGTGAGGCAGATGATTTCCACTTTCTCTCTACTTTGATTACATTCATTATTTTGACAAAAGATGCACCATTATTATTTGGAATTTTCCCCCAACAATCAAACCTGCTGAAAAGGCATCATGAAATAATTTGTTTTCTGTTGCTAATTTTAAAGACCATATGATGTCGCATGGCTACTGCACGATTTTGGATTTCTGATATTTCACTAATTGAGTCTGGAGGGATTTCTGCCAAAAGCTGAATATTTCCAAGATTGGTTTATGTGCTTCTGGGTCCATGGCCATGCCAGAGAGCTGCTCGTAGGGATCAACTCGTGGTCTTGGTAGAGCAAGAAGGACATGCCAGTTCCTCCCCCCATCCCATGAGGCCGCAGTTGCTCCGTCACTGCCGGCTCATGGGAAAATGGTGGAAGACAGACACCCTTTCCCTCCCGGGGGCGGGGACACGGCACCGTAGCTTAGTGTATAATCCATTCACATTTCTTCCAGAAGCTGCTGGGTTCCGTATTAGGTCCGTGTGCCTCTGGGGCCATGTCCATGCGAGAGAGCCGCTGGTGGGGGGGGCAACTTGTGGTTTTGGCAGGGCAAGAAAAACGTGCTGGTTCCGCCCCCCACCCCATCCCATCCCATCTTTTTTTTTTTTTTAAGTGAAGTCACTGTCACTGTCCTCCTGTGGTTCATTGATTTGCTCGAGCAGGCCCAGTAATGTCTCCATTGTGACAATTGTTACTGTGTTTGGCATATCGACTATGTAACAGATAGCTTGCCAGGCTTTGCCGATACTCTCGGTAGCTTGCCAGGGTCTCCAAGAGGGGCAGAGGAATCGAACTCAGGTCGGCCATGTTGGCCGCTTGCAAGACAAACTCCCTACCCGCTGTGCTATTGCTCCAGCCCTTTAGTGAAGTAAAATAGTTTTATTTAGGGCAACAGGAGAGGGAGAGATAGATGCATTCGAAAGAGAACACTGGCTTCTCCAGAGAGGGGTCACAGATAGAATTTACTTGTTTATTTGGGTTTTTGGCCATACCTGATGGTCCTCAGGGCTTACTCCTGGCTCTGTGCTCAGAAATCGCTCCTGGTGTACTTGGGGAATAATGTGCAAATTAAACCCCTATTTGCTGTGTACAAGGCAAATGCCCTACCCACTGTACTATCTGTCTGGTTCCTGATAGGATTTAAAAAATGTTTTTATTGAATATCCATGAGATAAACTGTTACCAAGTTATTCATGATTGGGTCTCAGTCATACAATGATCCAACACCCATCCCTCCACCAGTGTACATTTCCCACCACCAGTGACCCCAGTTTTCCTCCCACCACACTCCCAAAACTCCCCCTTTCCATCCCCCACCCCAATGCCTGCCTCTGTGGCAGGCACTTCTTTTTCTCTCCTTTTGTATATTATGGTTTGTAATACAGGTACAAAAAGGTATCGTGTTTGTTCAGGGTGTTCAGTATTTTTATTGAAGTAGCTTTTTTAATTGGGTGACAGCTTTGGGGTGTGGATGTGATTGCTGAGGCTTTCAGAAGTACAGGGAGGTGGGGGAAGATAGCCCATCCCAATTAAAAAAATGCCTTGGAGATTTCAGTCACAAAACCCACATACCCGAATTTTCAGTGAATTATATCTTGGTGAGGTCAGTCCCGAGATGGTAGAATCCAGCTGGGGATATGGCAGCAGTTTTGGATTGTGGAAGCAAGCAGCTGCTCTGCTTGGGTGGGCACCAGGCTGACCTGTCCCCCTCTGATTTGCCCTGGTCTGTTCAGCCTTGTGTGGGTCCAAGATTAACTGCAGCTCTGATCTCTTTCAAGATTTATTTATGGGTTTCTGAAGCAAGGCCGGTAGGAGAGCTCACTTGGTGGTGCTGGAGTTGGTTCTTGGGGGTGACTGCTGAGCTTCCCGGGATGTATAGGGAAGTGGGGGGAGGTAGCTCATCTCAAACCCGAGAAAACCTGGAGCCTAATAGGATTTTAAAATCAGAATTATCTTCAATATATAACCTCACTTTACTCATAATCAGTAGTTCAAATCTGGCACAGTTATTACCATGTAGCTCTAAAATAATCCTGTCTTACCAAAGAGACCATGACTGGTTTTACAAGATTATAATAAGTGAGAGCATGAGCATAAATTATTACATATGCCTTATCTTGTCGTGACCTTATTTCTCTACTACCACTGTAAGGCATATGGTGGGAGTAAAGTGAATTAGAGAATTATAGCCTCGCTGAGAACAGTGCTCTTGGGGCCATGAGTCCACATTTTCAGGTCGGCAGGTGTGGTCCCACTTGTGGCCTGGCTTGGGAGACTCATGGGGAATGGAGTCAAGGTTCCTTCTGTGCTGTTAGTAATGGGGAAGAGCACTCTGACCTTGGGCAAGTTCTTTAGGTCATGAGCATCCTGCTTTGCTATCAGGGCTTCACAGCAATCCTGTGAGAGCAAAGCTGCATGTGAAGTGTTTGGGTGACTGGGAGCTCCATGGCGTAGGAACCTGTACTGCAAACAGGGTCCTGACCCCTTCTCCACTGTTGTCTGCA